TGAACTAAAAAAAGAGTTCCTAACCCTGCTCCAACTCGTCTAATTCCATTATTCTTAATCATATTTGGTGGAAATAGCGCCTTGTGACGAATGTGGCGCGTTGCGACAAACGTAGCGCAGTTGTACCTGTCATTTTGTCATGCATCCTTCCACCGAATTGCACCTTTATCGGACCATATTTGACAAAGTTGTGCGATTTGCGGCAAAAATGGCGCCTCGTGACAAATGTGGCGCATTGCGTCGAACCCGGCGCGTTTATGTAGGCGTATTGAAAACTGTCTTTATTTACCGAAATCAAAACCTTCATTCGCCTCTGTTTAGCAAAATAAATAACCTGCAAATCTGCAAATGAGAGGAACCCGCCGCCGATCGTCATGCATTTTATTGTCAAAGGCGATTGAACCCGGCTGCCGATGCCTTGAAGCAAGCTTGAGATTCGAGCAAAATTTGAAGAAAAAGCACCTTTTTCCAGCGCGTGCCACGTGCGACCCATCCAACCCCCGGGACTCGAACCTCGACACTGCACGTGCCCGTGACGTCATCAACACCCTGCGAAAATTTCAGCCCCATCGAACGCACCGTTTGACCTGTGCACAGCGTCAAAGCACCCCTCTACACGGTGCAAACAGACAGACAGAGTTTCATTTCACAAATAGTATAGTAGATATGAGTGCTACCATTGTGCGTTCTTAGTAGAGCAGTATTATCGTCTCCCGTAATCCAATGCCCAGTGCTTATGACACGTCGAAGGCGAACAGAGACAGCCCCAACTTCCAAGAATGGAAGTGGAACGGCCTTGGCTCGCGAGCACTTCCTTCCTGCATGCTCTATTATCCGTAACACTGACGCAGTTGTGAGATGTCCATGTGGCTTATGATTCACCGTTAGCAGAGATGTAAATTTTCGTCTTTTCGTAACGTGTCATTTTCTGCGATACCAAGACACGGAGACGTGCCATAAGTCATAACAATGCATAATATGCACATGCACACATGTATGTAAACTGTAGCGGCCTTGTCATTTCAGTAGCGGCGGAACACCTTCAATTAAGGGGGGCACTACCGACTTTTGGTCCCATTCTTTCCATGCAACGCGCATAGGGGCTAGGGCTAATGTTAACCCTCGCATGTGTGCGGCGTTTTCCATGAGCTTCTAATGTGTAGGGGGGGGGGGGGTCGGTTGGACCCCCCCTTGCCGTTTAGCCCCTGATCGAGCTAGAGCTTCGCGGAAAAAAAACGAGCGTGTTGCCCGTGACGAGAGGAAGCCGATGATACCCAATTTTAAGGTCCTAGGTCATTGGTTGACCTTCCAGGTCAGGTCAATGACCCAAAGTCGGGAAAATCGGGACCTATTAGAAAGTCGTAAAGTGTGGCTGCTAAGGGTTTTTTCGGGGTGCCGATCACGAATATCGTGTTAGTTTTGATCACAGATGATGTCTTTAAGCATTTAGACCAAGTCGGGTCAGGTCAGGTCAGGTCAACCAGTAGGCGTCGTGACGGGTATTCGTAGTACGTGTCAACCGCCTCTGACAGCTTCGTAACATGTTACGAAGGCACCAAAACTACTTCGTAAATGTTCAAATGGCTGCTAAATTCGAATTTAGCTCCAAAAACTTTAGCCTAGAAACATGTAAAACTCGAAAAAGTGAACTGAGGTCACCCGAGGTCACCAAAGGTCAATGACCTGACCTGACCTTCAGGTGACCTTGACACCCACCCTAATGCATGGGAGCAACATCAAATCACATGTTTGAACGTTTGAAACCTCGAAAAGCTTGCAAACGCGCGGCTAATGCGAGCCGACGTACGCCAAATCGCGATTCCGGCCAAACATGGTCTCGGAAAAGAGGTCACAGGTCAAAGGTCATTTGGGTCAGGGTCATGAAATTTTCAGGGTAGGTGTAAAATTGATCAATGCGAGGGTACTGAACGTTTCGTCGCGATCGGCCGCTTTTTACGCGAGTTATTCGCGAAAAACCATGGGGGGTCCATCCGACCCCCCCTACACATGCGAGGGTTAAAAATACCAAAATCAAAGGGGGGCACGGTGCCCACATGCGAGGGTTAAAAATACCAAAATCAAAGGGGGGCACGGTGCCCCGGTGCCCTCCCCGTTCCGCCGCCTATGTGTCATTTGTAGGTATCCGTTTACTGTCGGTGCTTTCAAAGGAATCGGCGGTCGCTTTTGATCGCGCTTATCAAAAGCAAGCGACGTCTTCTGAAACTAAACACTCGACAGCTTAGACGCACCATCTGAAGCATGCTTTTATAGCAACTTACCAGTTCGTCCAGTGTGAATCGATCTCGGGCATATGCATAATGTACCTAGATTTAGCGGCTTTTGTTTCGACGAGAATAATATATTTTCATTACACCTTTATAAGCATGGACAGGTATTCATCATGTTTTCCCCGATGTACGACAAGTTGCCGTAAACTCTATACCTAATGGCCACAGGGGAATCTATTATTGAAAATGTAGATATTTTATTGCGACAGCAAAGTTAAATTCTTCATGAAATAAAAAAGAGGAAGTAAAGATTCATTGAGTCGCTGAGACCTACCTACGTACTAGCGTCACTTTCTGAAATTAATTGGTATGGCTCCAATGGTTAATTTTAACGATGTCAAGGCCATTCCTACCATGCAACGTCTTAGGATTCATGCTAAATTGCCGAAGTTATTGGTCGGGCGGGCTCGAGCCTTACAAAGCCCTAGCAAAAAAATGACACCCATAGGAAGGTATAGGAATGGTGGGAGCCCGAAACGTTCCACCCATCGCTCGCCCTATTTGTACACCTACCTTTTGATCACCTACCTACAGGGTGGGGCAGCATAATCGGGAATGCTTTTTGGGCTCTGGTCATGAGTAGGCATGGCATTATTTTGATAAATTATATCATGGCAATGAAACGCCCAAAAGTTGTGCATCATCTGACATGACCACATCCATGAGCATGCAACTTCCTGGAAAAGAGCAGCAAAATAGTTCGACGGTGCTCCAAGTGCTTTGCGCGCGCCCATAGACACTAATGTTAAACGAGTAAAACAAGAACATTTTGTTTAAAACAATGCCATTCCACGTAAAGGTTGCTGGACAGATCAACGTGTTATCACGGACGATAAGGATTGTGTGGGGATACTTAGGACAAAAAGTTAACGTAATCGTCGTAAAATAACTCTTAGCAGAGGACATACAAGATGACTCACTTGAATATAAGGAAGAAGCTCTTGAGCATATTAAAAAGAAACAATGTTCAAAACTTCAGCGACCAAAAATCTTATCACCGACTGGAATACGATAAAAAAGAATGGCATGCCATATAGGGGATTGTATCGAGAATATTGCAGCGGTCATGCAAAGTAAACATCCTGTTGAGGTGATGGACCTATGGGTGGTCTTCAAGGGAGGTGCACGTGGTGCACCCTACTTCATCGAGCCCGGATAAAACGAGCACCTCTGGTAAATACATCCACACTCTGGCAGACTCACGTGGAGTCGTCGGAAGAGAGGATCACTGACGGTCCAGATCACGTCTTACGAGGACTCTGTCCGTGCTGGTACTGCAGTGAGGACGACATGTTATTGTGTAGGGCACCTCCACCTGAGATGAACCAAAAACTTCTGGTCCTTCAACTCCGCCGATTTAAATCCGACCAAATTCTTTATATGGAGCGTTTTTTGGTAGAAGTTTAATGAACAACTTATCATCAGTAAAAACGGTCTTCAGTGCAAGGTACGAAGCTGATGGGCGATCATGGACAAGCAGGAGGTTGCACGTGCATGCGCGTGCTTTTGGACCCGCCTTGAGAAGGTCATCGACGCGAAGGGCGGTCAAATAGGATGAGGGATAGGTAAAAGGTGACCGATTGATGGGATGTTGTTAAAATAGTGCTTGGAGCTATATTTTTTAATTCATGATCAAATAATCCCGTTTGATATTTATTCCCGATTATGCTGCCCCACCCTGTATGTAGATACCTACCTTTTGATTTAGCAAATACGACTTAGGCATAGGTACAGTCCACAGCAGAAGTAGGTAATGTGTGGTTTCAGTCGTGGGTATGTTCTGCTTCTGAAGCCTAGGAACGATTAGCCAGACTGCAACGAGACTTTAAATGTAGCTTACATGTATCTTCACCCTTGCAGCTACAACTTTATCTATTGACGTCTTCTTTTCGATCAGTCTGCATTTAAAAATCGTCGGTCAAAGCCATCCGTTAAGATTGGTAAAACCACAAGCCGTAATCGCCACGCCATATGTGGAAGGCTTTTGGTGTCAATAAATACATACATACATACATACACATTACTTTAGCGGTGGGCTGTACCTTAGCGACAGTTGCATATGATTCACACTACCTTATTGGCAACAGCTGCACATTTCAAAACGCTTCCGAACCAATTAAGAATGGGCCGTAAAGGGTCTTCTGTCTACCTGCGTGGTTTATAAGCTTGCTTGAAATAAATACCTACGCCTATTCTTCCAGAGCCTGGTGCCGTCTTGCGTTATAACCGGAAATTGCGGAATCGCAACTGGCGAAATATGTTGGAAAACATCTTCGCAGCAAAAAAGTCGCTAAGTGTTGATTATGGCTTATAACTTTCTGGGTAAATCGTAAAAAAAAAAAAAAATGTTTAAAAAGTAGGCTGACATCCTTCTGGGAAAGCATGTCGCCGATCCTCGATCTTCGGTGCAAAATGCATTGAAAAGTAGCAAGTTTCAGATATGCAGAGCTCTCATCTCTTCTCTAAATATGCTGGTCCGGACTTGTCCTGAGCCTCCCTCGACCTTCACAGTGCCCACACGGCCGGATACTTCACCGGGAGCTGACCGCTGGACAGCGCTATGTGGGATAACCCGCACCTCACCCACATCCACCGGAGCCGCTCCGCCAATCAGGCGCCTCCGTCTCTGTGACGTCACTAGCCGGTATGTGACGTCAAGGGATGGCACGTCACTGTGGCCGGCCCGGCCCGCGGCCGCCCTCCGCTCGTCCCGCCAGTCAGCGTTCCAAAACGTCCAGTGTGGGGTCGTAATACGCGGTGTCTAGATAAAAACAGAGAACTGTGAGGAAAGTTTGACCCAAAGGTTGATATCAGTTGGCAGTTCGCGGACCGTGAAAGGCGTGGACAGTGAGCCGTGTGGTGCCTCGTTTCGCGAGCGTGGTGGCGCGTCGCTTGGCCGGTTTTCAGTGAAACCGGCGAGTTCCGGGATCCGTCTGCGTGCTGACGGAACAGCGGGGCAGCGGCGCCGGGCGGCGGCATTTGGCGAGCCTGTCAGTGTGGTGAGCGTGTCCGGAGTGCCGTGCACGGGACGCAGGTGGAAGTAGTTATCGCGGAAAGGACTGGAACTGTGCCAGCTCTCGGGGGCATAAACGAGGATTAGTGACAGTCGACGTGCCAGTAGCGCCGGGCTGTGACAGGAGGGTGGGCATGGCTCGCTCATCCAGCCGGGTTTTGAAAAGGACGCTTCCCATGCGGTGCCTCTCGACAATGGGCGTCGCAGTGACCTTGGTTTTCGTTGTCGCGGTGGCCAGCGCGCAGACCCAGGACAGTAGGATTGTCTTCAACGGACCCACAGACACCTCGTCGAACTTGACAAAACGCATCCAGGTCAACCTAGCCGCCAACAACTACCCAGATTGTCCGTGGCACGTGTGTGAGCGCGAGGGTCGCCAGCCGCGGAGGAAGGAGGACTGGTACCTGCTCGGCTGCTACTGTGACAATGCCTGTGGCATGTTCGGGGACTGCTGCCGTGACGCAGACCGAGCTGCTGAAACGCCCAGGAGTGACGTGAAGTGTATGCCGTTACGTCAGTACACGGGGGTGTACGTGGTGTCGGAGTGTCCGACCGAATGGCCAAAGGATGAGGTGAGGCAGATGTGTGAAGTCGGCTCTCCGGAGAATCTCCAGGCACAGGCGCTTGTGACAAACCGGCGCACTGGTCTCACCTACCGCAACTGGGCGTGTGCGCTGTGCCACGAGGACACCGACGAAGCCGTCTCGTGGCCCACGAGACTCGAGTGCCCCACGGCGAGCAAGGGTGCGAACGTGACGTTGAAGGACTTGGGCGGTGGCCAGTGGGGACTGAGTCAGATGCTTAACGACACGGAGGTGGTCCATGCGTGTTTCGTGGACCCGTTCATGCCAGAGACCGTGACGGATGTTGTGCGTCACTGTCAGCCGCTTGTGGACAGCTGCCCAGAGTCCTGGAACGATCCTGAAGTCGCCGAACTCTGCGGCGCCTACACTGCCAAGGCGTTCGACTCTGAAGTCAGAGCTGCAATCCATGATGCAGACAAACTGTCGTTTCGCAACCCGCACTGTGCACTCTGTAACGGAGTGAATGCTGTTGACATGATATGCGATATGGAGCTCGGGCAGCGAGGTCTTATTCGCCGCGATTTCAATGTGCAGGCGTTTACCATATTGCTGGATGTGACTGAAGACACCGGGAGTAACATTGTCGGTGCAAAAACGGTGTGTGATGATGGTGAATTTTGGGACCAGGCATTCATCAAATGCCGTTCCTTATCTTGTGACGAGGGTTTCAAGCTAGAGAACAATGTGTGTGTGGCAGAAAAGAAGTCGAGAACGGGCAAACCCAATGGTAAAGGCACCATCGTCTTCCCCGAGAACGGAAACAATGTCAAGGAAGATGACAACAAAACGCAAGAGGCCGTCGACTTCCAGCGCTGCCCAAAGATCTATCTCTCACCTGGTGAGTTCATCGAGCGTCCTGACGGCACCGTGTTGGTGGAACAGTACGAGCTCATCTTCAGGCATGGCGAGTTCGAGATGCGTCAAGGGGAGCTGGCCATCTGCTCGGTAGCCTCCGACTTCCGCAAGTTCGACTATGCCCTGACGATTCTCTCGCTGGTGTTTCTTGCTGGTTCCATCTTCTGCCTGTGCTGTCACCTGGTGCTCTTCTGCCTAGTGCCGGACTTGAGGAATCTCTCCGGTAAGAACCTGGCATCACTCTGCGTGTGTCTCCTGCTGGGATACGTTTGCTTTGTGACCTCACCGTTCGAGACGGCGGGCAGCGAAGGATGTCGCACTCTCGGCATCGTCATGTACACCGCCTTCATTGCGTCCTTCCTCTGGATGAACGTCATGGCCTTCGACGTGTTCATCACCTTGAGGTAAGTGATAAGACGTCTGTCTTAGGAGCTGTGGTGTGTAACAAAGTTGTTATTGTTATTTGTCTTTGGATGTTTGAATGATTTGGATGTTGTTATTGAGTCGGTTCGGTTGTTCTTATTGTAGATGTGCTTTGTTTGCTACCTTGGTACGCGTCGTATGTGCCAACAATCTTGCAGATGCGTATCACGCTTCCGGCGCTTGCATGTCTCACAAACACACTTGTAACGCTCCACTGACTCTGAAGCATTCCCTACAGGCAAGCGATGACTGAGCTACGCGTCACCTCCGGTCGTCATCGGAAGCGCTACCTTCTCTACCTGCTGTACGTCTGCGTCCTGACGGCAGCTCTGGTGGCCGCCGCTGTCGGAACTGACTCCTCAGCCGACCCGACCAGTGCCTACCGCCCTGCGTTCGGAGAGAGGGTCTGCTGGTTCAGCCGCCGCCGAGCCCTCATGGTGTTCTTCGCCATGCCGCTCATTCTGATCATGGTGGCCAATGTGGCGCTGTTTCTGGGAAGTGCCAGCGTTATCAGAAGAACAGGGCGAGCGACGGCATCCATGTCTTGTGGCCCAACAAAGGTGAGGAGAAGATGTCGGCTGGGGTGCCTAATTAACTTGAAATAAGATTAGGATGGATAATTCTAATTTCATGTGGCCTTCGCGTGCGAATTAAAACGTCAAACTTTCACTTTATATCTGCGCTCAGTCATGTGGTCAAAATTCCACTTCGTGTCTGATGCTAGTGCACGTCAAGCTTTGCTTACAAGTTACATGATCCGGGACCTTGACCACAATATCACCATTCCACCTAGGCCGCACCCACATGACCCACATCTGACCTCCCCGGCCCTCTGCCCCCAGACAAATCTGCGCTTATACAGCCGCCTGGCCACCATCACTGGCCTCTCGTGGCTGGTGGGTCTGGTCGCCACCTGGCTCGACTTCCCGCCGCTCTGGTACGCGTTCGTCGTCCTGAACACCCTGCAGGGCGTCTTCATCTTCATCTTCTTCACGCTGGCGGATCGGGTCAGGGACCGGATCAGACGTGATCTGTCCCGGTACTCCCGGTGGCAGGCGGGTGGTAAGGTGGATGATGTGCCAGGGTCGGAGCCTGGTCTGCCGTGTACTGACTCAACAGGACTACAGCTGACTGACAGCAGGCCCACCGACGGCTGCTGAACGAACAGCTGCTGAACGTCAAGAACTGACAATTGTTCAGCCGAGAGCTGAACGTCAGTTTTGGAAACTATGCAGACGTCAGCGACTGAGAGACAGCCGTTGAGAAGCAGCAGCTCAAGAGCAGCTCACCGACAGTCGGCCAAACGACAGCGTCTACCGACATCAACCGACAGCAGGCAGTCACCCGGCCGACAGCGGATCTAACGACAGTCGACATCCCTGGCAGTCGTTAGTCTATCGACAGTGACCAACAGCATCCGACACTGCAGCATGCATTGCTGACTGAATCACATCTGTGCTTGCAGACGGCGCCCAGCGGCTGACTGAGGCGGCAGTGTCTGACTGAAGGGGCGAGGAAGACACTCGGCTGTGTCCTCTGTGATGTTAAATGGTGTGCGTCTGTGATGGATACTCGCCTTCCCGCCTCTCCGGATGCTTTGTCGTCATTAGACGCCAGGTTTTCACCGTCCTCACCGCTTTTTCCACATCTACTGTAGAATCCGGCCTTTTCCCAGATCGACCGTAAGAATCAGCCGATAGCAGGGGGATGCGTGGCTTTTAAAGGAACTTTATGAGTCACAGGACTTTTGTTATGCTTAGTCGAGTGTTCAGGATAACTGGGGTGCGTTTGAATGCGGGCAGCTGAATCACTAGCAAGAGCTCACGAAGTACACGATGTGTGATTTACTTGCTCAGCTGGAATGAAGATTCTGGTAAAACTCGTCGCGTTGGACATTGACTCGCCTGAAGCAGCTCGCAGTTGCTCAATTTGATTGGGTTCGATGTGTTTGGTTTGACCAGTCAGAAGTGTGCTTGCACCGCGCCGGTGTTTTGTGCTTGTGTGTGCGAGTAGACAATAAGGTGTCCGCAGTGTACTAATAACCGCTGTCGAAGAATGGCATGGATATTGTCGGTCTTCCTAGTGAAGATTGTGGCTTTCTTGACTTAGGCTGTAAACGAGGATCAAAATGTTTGCATTCACTTCAGACAATGCTCGCTTTCTAGGATGTGTTTGATGTTATTCATATAAGGAAATGTCCCCAATGATAGGTGTTTGCATTTGTGTGAATGTACTAGTCAGTGTTGCATCTCCCGAACAGGCTAGGGATCACTGTACCTACTTGAGGTATATTGTAAATATTACCGTATACCGTAAGATTTAGTTATTGAACTGCATAGAAGCATGTGTTATTGTTTTGTTTTCGCACGAGTATGTGTTATCCTGCAAACTCGAGGTTGATATTAAGGTCGTTAAATTACGCAACTAAAACTGTTTTTTTTTTTATTTTGCGAAAGATGGTAAACAATGTTTTAGGCGTTTCGCTATTAAATGCGTTTCGATTGATACCTATGCAAAATGCCAACATAGGAAAACTGGTATATTTGTCATTTTCACACTGCGTTGTTCTCTGAGGCTAAACGGAATCTCATCCACAGCTTAGGTAGGTACCTACTGGATGCTACTGTTTTTGTGGCAGGTGATGGTTTTGTATCTTTATGTGGTAGCACAACAGCAACAGAACTGAAGCCAGTGGCGGCGCCACGAATTTTCGCCAGTGGGGGCAAGCTTCAGGTGACCCGACTGTTGTCTGATAACCCGATCTGCAAAATCCATGAGCTCCTCGCCCCTAGATGTTGCCAATTAGAAATTATCATGGTTTCAGGTTTCATGCATGCGTATTGAGCTTAAGCATTAACCCTCCCGGGCCCGGAACGGGGGGGGGGGCGTTTTTCGCCTCCCCTGGCGAATATTTGTGATACCATATGAACGCTTAGGAGTAGACAGTAATCAGTAATCAGTACCTAGTTCTCTTTTTTACCGTAGTGCGAATATATGCGTTTCTCTCACACACTATTGATACCAGAATAAGCTCTATTAGGGCGATCCATATACATTTCCAGATAACCCGGATATACATACCTACCTATCACATTTTGTCATACCTCCCTGAGCTCAGTCTCAGTCTAAGGGTTCCCAAAAGAGGGTGAACTCTTCTCTGGCCGATTTTGACAAGCTGCCTCTCAACCTCCTCGAGGTCAAGCTCGAGGGCAGCCTTCTGGTGAATGAAAATGAGTAGGAAAATGAGTGGGAGTAGGAGATATGCGACAGACGGTCTGAGAACGAACGTTCTGCTGATGCACTTGATACGGGAATCGTCAAAAACAGGCGTACTATTATAACCGCCTATCATGAATATTGCACCGGTCTTCTGTTCCCATTTCAAAATCAGCCAAATTTTGTGGGGGTAAAAACATAGTCTTGCCCCCACGGCCTCCTGCCAGTGGGGGCAGTCTGCCCCCACTGCCCCCACGGTGGCGCCGCCCTTGACTGAAGCACGGCTTCTATATGCACTACGCAGCCCACAAGCTCCAGTCCGCTGTCTTTTATTGCGTGCTTTATCTTTCCCGCCATTGGACGGGCGATGCACAACGCATCCCCTCTATGTTTCGTTTATGGAAATATGTGTGCAAAATATACGCAAAACATAGCGACCTCTTTTTAGGCTGGGCAATTATGCGCGTCGTTAATTGTTTAACGGTTTTAGGTATAACTGCAGTGGCACAAGAGAAAGCAAGGGTCTCTAAATAGCCCTGGGGGCGGCACACATGTCGTGGCGTTGTCATGGCAACCGGAAGGCATCGATTCGCGACTCATTCACCCGGGACCACGCGGGATTTCTCGGCCTCGATACGGTTGGCCTTGGATACGGTCAGTAGTGTCAAACATTGTAGCATGGTTTACAGTGGTCTAAAAACGTTGTTTATACTATAAAACATAAACCAAGGCTTTGCAAGGCAGGGTAAAAGGATCACTTGTTTATTTCAAAGATCGCAATGTCTGAAATAGAGGAGAGCGACACAAACGAGGAGGGAAACGAGTCGCCGGAGGTCAACCAGACCAATTTGTTTGAAGTCAGGGACAAGGAACTGAAGGCTGGTGGTAAGGTAAGGTTTATGTACCTACTGCGTACGACGTATAGTGTACGTATTTCGCCGAACGGGGTTTTAAGTGGGGTAGACTGATGCCTATGTGCACCCAAACATTTAACATAATCCCAGGCACATTAAACCGTAGCTTGGCATTAAGCATGCCAAAGCCGATTTTAGTGCCCGAATGAACGAAAATTCAAACCTGATGACTTCTAGTCATAGCTTCAAACTCAACGTGTAGCCGTTTAAGACCAGGAAGTGTAAAACTAATACACACCAGTCAATAACATTATCAATAACTACCATGTAACGTAACATGCGTGTAAATGTCCTGCAAACGCAATCTAAATCCGCACTCGTTTATGGTCTTGTCCGAACAACTGCGTAAGTACCGTTTCATGCTCGTGTCCTCCAATGTCCTCTACCTAGTCAACCGAGTAGGTATCTAACGTGTCCTTTTACTAGCGCACCTGGCTACACCGGCTATATTTGGTCGCGTCTCTGGACCTGCGATACGAAGAACCTGAGGATATCCAGCGGCGAGCGTCTCTCGTTAAGACGCAAGTAAGTTCTCTCGTTAAGGCCATCACCAATGTGATCATTGTATCAATGTTTGCATGACCAATGACCATTGAGATCATCGTTTGACCTGAAGTCGTAAGAAACTGATCGAAAACCTCCTCTCGTGGAGTGCAAGGCATTCGTTTTATTCTTTCGCAAGGCTTTTAGAAGGACCATTTGGAGCCAAAGAATCGTACGATGAGAGCGGGATCGTACAAAAGCCAACGGTTGTGCCGGTGAGAGAGATGAGGACTGAGCCAGTCCCAGCGAGTTATAGGCAAAACCACACTCGATCACCCTAACTCCACTCTAAATCTGGCCCGTTTCAGTTGGATGAGTTCGGTGGCGAGTGTGAGCAGCAGATAAAACAGCTCTACAACACGTACCGGGAGGAGGCAGCCTCCGGCTTTCTGCTCATCTACCCAAGATACATGGTGCATATGCTAGAGGTACCGTGAGGCGACCTGATAACCCGACAAGCGACTATCCACGTGTGTTTTAGTAGCAAATTGTACTTGCAAGAACATGCTTTGCCTTGCGTTTGGACTGTGAAACTGAGTTTGGATATGATGGTCGTCATCTTTCTATCATTTTTGCAGAGTTCTGAAGACTGCATAGTTGCGTATCTGATGGCGCTAAGGCAGATGCGACAGGAGCCAAACTCCAAGCTGCTCGATACCAAAGTGCTGCTGATGGCGCATGACATTCCTACGGTCAGTACTGGGTCTGGTTATTCTAACATCAGTGTGTTCTGGATCATACTATTCCGTCCTACGACCATCGCTTGGTCCTCTCGATTCTCTTGTGTAGAATAACGTCATCTGGTTTGCACGATGATTTGGTGTTTTAGGGCGCACCAGCAAGGAGGCTATATCGGGCTCAGCTGGTTTCCACAAATTCGTAGCATTATCACGAATTTGTGATAATGCTACGAATTATCACATATAGACAATGCATCGTGCTTCACATTTGTCGTTACTGTTACTTCGTCGTGTCGTTCCGTTGACCGTTCCCATATCGTTACCGTTACCCTGTCGTGTCGTTCTGTTCCCACATCGTTGCCGTTACGCTGACGTACCGTACCGCTCCTGCTGTTTGCCTCTCAGCGCCTGTTCGAGGCGTGGTCGTACCGCGGTATCGGCGCCCCCTCCCGCGAACAGGTCGACTCCAGCATGTCCTCCAGGAAGGCAGCCACCGCCTGCCTGACGCAGCTGCTCGGTTTGGCTGCCCACCTCAAGAAGACGCCCAAGGTCAGCCAGGGTCCGTCAAGGAATGGTGTAGCTGTAGTCAGATTTCTTCTAGGAAGAGTTTGGATGTAGACAGATCATCTAGCATGCTTAGATGAAGTTACATACGTTATCTTTGGGAAACCGTTCAGATGAGGCTGCAGCTTGTCCTTGAGAAGGCAGACTGAAATAATACAATCTTTAGGAAAACGTTCAGATATGCTCAGCATTCCATCAGAATCAAGATTTTCAAACGAGTCCGTCCATTCCCAGGCGAATCTGAAGAACGCAATGGACCTGCTGTCGGAGAGGGTGCCGGAGCTGCTGCCCACTGAGGACCTGCTGCAGCTCCTGCTGAAACAGGACGCCTTCCTCAGTGTCGAGGAGTACCTGGATCTCTACTACACGCCGCTGGCGCCTGCCGACGAAACAGGTGAGATGACGAGACCGACGGACGACGGGACCCACACATTGGATATCACTGCAACACATTAGATTGGATCATTACATCATTGGGTTGGAACTTGGATCACATTGGATTGGATTCGATATTCGATTACACTGCAAGGGCTTGGATCACATATTGGGTCCAGGTGGAAGATTCAGGCACATTCAGGCCGTCGGGTTTTACGCCTGTGCTCACTGCCACCCGACGAGGTTGATCAATGGTTATTGGTTATGGCTCAAGTGGAGCTAAAGCCATTCACAATGACTTGCAGATAGTGTATGGAAATTCTTCGCTCAGTTTTCCTTGTGACATTGTGTCGTTGTTTTCAGAGCTGGTCTGGCCACTGCCGGGGCACATGTTCCCGTACTATCACTGATGAGCGGCCACGAGATATCGACCAATCGGACGGAGTGGCGCTAGTCGTCACGAGGATTTCGACATTGGCTCCAGTCGCCGTTTCAAACGCCCGCCGCTTCGTCCGGTGTGATGTGCTTACCAAGCACGTAATGTATTTGTGCGGTACGATACGTAAGGAGTTGAGACAGCACGTCAGTTACCATGAGCACCGACCTGTACTGGCCTTCCAGCTTGGTCATAAGGCAAGTGTCGATCGGTGCTTCGCATGGTTCTAGGGAAGCGACACTTCGCAAAAGCAGAGCGCTGGGATTAATTTGATTTCAGTGTTGACGATGTCTTTCAGTGCATTGCATAGTTAGTGACAACAAGCAGGCAGCCATTTGCCATCGTCTTGTGTTCCCCGAGCAGATATAACGTATGAACGTCATACGCGACACTACGCAACACCATCATTTTAAGAATATCCGTATATATTTGTCCCTCATCTCACACACCATAGACGACTCATTGCACATAAAGAAGGCTCACTGGAACACTGCAGTGGACGCTTCAAACGCCATCGATACCCAGTTGGATCACACTATTTGGCACCAGAAACTCGCGGTATAAGTCATCGGGAGCATAGTCGGATGCTGGCTGGGACGGATCTCGGCATTGGGGGCTCTTGGCTGCTCTTGGATACACATGTACACATATTTTGGCGGGAAGTGGACAGGCGATGCAGTCTCTATGTTGAATTCAGTTTTGTTACAACGGACGGAGGAATATTTTTGGTCGACCATTCGAATGCTAGCTCTATAGAGGTGGCGGAGACTATGCAATCAGATATTGTCCAAGTCGAGATGTCTCTTTTTACATACGATCGTTGGCATATGAATTAGCATAAAGTCATGTCGCACTATGTAACTTGGCGTACAGAAGCTCATAGTTCGCTACAGGCGTGTCTGTGCCACTTAGTCCACACGATGGAATCAATATTCACATAAAACGCATCAGGCGTCCGCTTAATTCACAAGAATCGCAAAACATTCGGAAATAAAACGTTTCTTTAGAAGTCATGAATAGCATATGCTATCAAGTACATCACGTAGCAAGACGTGACTGCTTGTACTTCTGATTATAAAACTCCTCGCGAGCAAATTTCCCGAGATATGCACGCCATTCAGGCACTTGTTTACAACAATACACAAAAGGACAATATACAGCGTCCCTCGACGCGACAGGCAGGTCGCCTCAGCACAATGAAGCGCCACTGGCGAGCAAGGAAAATCCACTTCAGGGAACATAACGGACCACCCACGGACCCACAGCATTGGCTTTCCGCCCTGTATGAACCACCATAACTCTTCAAGGCCACATTACGGCGGAGTCAGGTGTCCCGCACCAGGGCGACTCGGGCCGTGCCGTATGGCGGCTCCGTGTCGGACTCCTCATCCGCCAGTCGCTCGCCGCCCGAGTCCGTTGCACCCTCTCCTCCCAGCAGAAATACGCCACCATCAGCACATCGCCGGCGGCCGCCAGATACCAGGCGGCGCGCCACCACCCAGCCAGGCGGCTCACAGCAGGGTGGGCCTGTAAAAACACCGCCGGCCCGCCTTCAGAGCCTCCGCGTACGAGCGCTCCAGCAGCCGCAACTTGGCAACCTCCTCAGAAGGACGCACCAGGAGAGGGAACTCTTCACCACTCGACGCGACGCCTGGTGAAGAGTCGGCACAACCATCGGTAGATGGAGTGGACTCTCGCAACCGGCGTTCGTATTCCTCGGCGAAAGAGAATGCTCGAGGGACGCTGGCAGAGCGGGAGCGACTACTTCGAGACAATGTCTCAGAGTCCCCAGGCGACTGAGGCAGCGGAGGAACAGTCTCCTCTGATGGCTCAGCTGGCAAAGTGGTCCGTAGAGACATCTCAACCGCTGAGGACTCCCTTTCTGCAGATGTCGCCGCAACCCGCGAGTCTTTACTCGTTTCTGTGGCGGGAACTGCCTGGCTTACGTTTACCTCTTCAACCTCTGCTTGTTCCTTGGACGCTAAACTTTCAGCGATGACATCAGTAGCTGGAGCCACTGCTGGTGACGCTGAGGATGTTGAAGCTGGTGTACCCTCTGCTGTCTGTGATGCTGAAGCTGCTACAGGCGCTGCGATAGAGCCAAGAGCAGGCGACACCAGCACGGGTTTCTTCAGTACCTGGAAAATCTCCTGGAACAGCTGTTTGTACTGCGTGGAGTGCTGCAGTGTCCCAGTCGCCTTCCTCTGCGACAGAGCTGTCACCTCTCCGTCCGGCGTCTGCGTCGCCCGAGAGACCGCTCTACTCGGATCACTTCCCTCAGAGAACCCAGAGGAAGAGGCATCCCCATCGGACGGAGCCCCAAGGAGCATCAGAGACGCCGGTCCCGAGTCGCGCAGCGGTGTCGCCCGGAGCGCAGCTGGCGGCTGGTCGGCTGCAGCTGCCGACAGCTGCAGCTCCTCCAGCAGTGACAGGGAGCTCGGCTGATCGGGGGTGGGGGGCCGCACAGGTCGCGAGCTCACCATCCACTCGTACTTGTCCATGTGGTCGAGGAGGACTCGGTAGTGGGCGTCCAGATCACTGATGAGGGAGGCGGGTGCCGATCCGGCGTCCTCGGCGGCACTGGAGAGACGGCCGGCGTCCTGGGGACGTGGGAACACGGGGTCAGGGGTGTCTGATGGTGATAAGATGAGAGCACGCACGTCGCACAGCGCACGCAGCATAAGGTGCGTAGGTCGAGGACGATTTAATGTCACGTAGCCTGCGAATGCATGGTCCGCTCGACTACCTTTCCCTGAGAGCTCCTTAATACGAATAAAATTGGAAGAAAAACGTCAAACGATGCACGCAAGCAAAGCCAATGATAATAAGCTGCTATCGAACCATTCACCACGAGGACATGATTACCACACAATCCATATTAATGGGGAGATAATGACTGACTTAGAGAATTAAATTTGTTATCCATGCTATTTACCGCTCTCCACAAGACTTGACTGTACTGAGTGTACAAGACAAGGCCCAGCGTTAATGGTCTAATACAAGAAAGTCCCGTCCATAATTGGGACTGATCAAGTGACTTACCTCGCCCCAGACCGATCGCGCCCGGTCTGCCGAGGCGGATCCGGCCGCTCGCGACTCTCCTGCCATCTGTGGTGAGGCGCTGGAAGCTCGCGGTGAACAGTGCCGCATGAACGGACTCAGCCTGTGAACGCAGAAACATAGACACTCAGTGACATCCTGGTAGCGGCCTGGCCTTGAGGAAAGCTCCTGCGCTTCCACACCTGCTATCTGGTCTTCATTCCTGATAAATCACAGGACTCCGAATCTCCCGGACGATTATGGACAGCATGAGAGCTCCTGCTAATACTTTGTTGACAGGATTTAGTGTTCAAATTTGTGCCATAAACCCAAGGAGCAGCCTTGCTTTAACCTATAAGCAACCCGATAGCAATTTCTAGCGACCGCCACAGAGGAGCGAGTCCAGCCTAGTTGGGAGGCCTGCGCGAGAGAAGCCTCACCTGTGCTCCTCCAGGGCGTGCACCTCCTCGGCCAGTGTGTGCAGTTTGACGCTGCGCTCCCGCAGTGCCGCCATCTCGTGTCGTAGTTCGGAACATTCCTGTGGGAACAAGAGAATGATATTGTCTAACAAAAAATGAGCATATCATGCATTGAAAAAGAGACAGCTAGATAGCTATAAGTTAAACAGGCTATGATTAAAACATAGCGCAGTTAAAACGGGAAATATGACAAGATGTCTTTAAAATACTGAACTCTTCCACTAGTAACTACTCTTCCCTTAATAAACTGAGGATAAATAAAAAACGAACAAAGTCTTAAACTACTGCCAGCTCCCTGTTCGACCCTCTCACCTCCCTCCCCAACCCTCTCACCTGCTGGGCGGTGGCCACCTCCATCTCTGCCCACTGTCTCCGCTCTCTCTCCTTCCTCTCCCTCTCCCTGACCTCAGTCAGCTGCTGCTCCAGCAGCGTCACCCGCTCTGCCAGCTGGTCCGAGGTGCTGGGGACCTGGCGAACGTAGCAAACGGTCAGATAAGTCAGAAGGGTCGTGGCAGCTGGGGAAAGGCGAGATGAGGGGGGAAGGGAAGGGAGGTTCGGGAGGGGCCCGACTGGAGAGTAACGAGGGGGGGGGGGGCAAGTCACTTTGGCTTAGAAGAGGTGCTTGCACTTAGTAACTTGGTGGGAAGTACAACTATTTAGTAGCACTTGGTAGCATTATACATATGAAATATGGATAACCTAATCGTGCAACAAATCTATTATTCACTGTGTTTATTTCTCTCCCGGGGCGTATTGAAAATGAAACGGAACCAATTCATAGTTTGTACTTTATTTACAGCCGTTAACCAATCCCATCGTTTTTCACTGCAGGAAATGATGCGTGGGAGAAACTGAAGGAAAAAGAGCTATCGTTTCCCGCCAGCCGATAGTATCAGCTGGCTGGTGCCATCCGTGAACGGGGTACTGTCGTGCTAGCCAGTCGGCTGTCCCTGGGCTAATTGGACGGGGAAGCATTACATCAGCGATGTTACGGCGATTTAACGCCATCAAATCCGGCTTATACATAAAACATGAGACGGCAAGACATGGGAAACTTGCATGTCAGATAAAGCTTTACTCGACATTCAGCACCTAAGACACATCTATTAGTGCTTCAGTGAACTACTTAGCAGTTTTTCGCCATTTCAACATTCATAATTTATATTGAAGCTCAGATTAGAGACGGTAAGATTTTTGCTAAAATGATATCGTTTCACTCACTGTAACACGAGCATCCCTTTTCCCTAATGCCTATCTATGTTTACTTGCCCCTCCATATCCGTCTCATCCCAGACGATCTATCCGGTACTGACCCTCGTTTCGCTGTCCCCCTGTCCATCCTCGTCCCTTTATACCCGTCCTTGTCCCTTTATTCCCTCCTACCCAGTACTGACCCTCGTTTCGCTGTCCCCCTGTTCGTCCTCGTCCCCCTGGCCGGCTGCGGCGGCTGCGGCAGCTCGGTAGGTCCGCTCGGCAGCCCGCAGCTCGTCCACCAGAGTCTGTAGTTCGGCGGTCCGTTGCTCCAGACACTCGACAGACTGGGTCAGACTGTGGGCAAGGGGAGAGGGAGGGTCAGCTACATGGCTCACATACGAGAGGTGAGCCAGAGGTGCACACAGAGATCGCAACAGCAACGTAAAAGGGGTTCCAGACAACGCCAAATAGTTTACAGAACATCGCTGTTACCAAATGGTGTCCAGTCCACCACGTGACCAGGATTTTGCTCAGGGAGGGGCCACAGGTCGCGGCCTAGTGTCGCACCCCCTCCAAAAAGGAAAACTCCTCGGATTTGGACCACTATTTTTGGGGGTGTGGTGCAGCTGTTTTTACTTATTTTTATTTTTTATTAACTTGTATTTTATTTCTCGCCTTCAGGGGGGCATGGCCCCCGTGCCCCCTCCCCCCTTTGGCTACGTCTCTGTCAAAAAGTCTATCAGCAGCCGGAACAGGCACTAAATCACATGTTGGAAATGCAGTGTTCTAAGATTAACAGCCAAGGTCCATCAACTGAGCGACTCCATTAGCTCTATTAATCAACCATTGAGTTCGACTTCCACTCCGATTACCGCCCACCCCACAACGGATGCTCCGGAACTGATAGATACATCACCATTCCACGATGGAATGTAGCCCAGTTTTCGCAGTAGGCGGACACCCCATCATGAGTCGGCTGTCTTAGGTCAGAGTGCACGTCGTTTTGGGTCTCGGGGTCGACCAATAACCTCCCATTAACGACTGAGGTGGTCTAAACGGTAGCCGCACAGTTATCTATCAGGGTCATGGGTTTCGCATGAGTGGGTGGCGGTGGCCGGTGGCGGGCAGTAGCGAATATTCTTGACAATAGTGCGCTACTGCAGGTGAGGAATGGATGGTCAGACTGATGTTTGTTTTAGCTTTAGGGGTGGCTGGTTCCTAAATTTGGCCAACATATGGGGTGCGCGGTACACGGCAGCAGCCTCCTGCAGCTAGCAGCTCTCCAGCAGTTTATTTGCAGCTCCCGTGTCCCGCGATGACTATATACTGTCATGACATCGTAATGTATCTGACTGCCCAACACTAACAACTCATGTACTTCGCTGAGCTGCCGCCATAACTAACACCGTAGCAGGGCTGACCTGACATCATACCCGTGAGAGTGTGCTCACTCGTCGGGTGATGAAGAGAGCGGGAGGTGAGCGGGAGGTGAGCGGGCGGTGAGAAAATGTGAGTGCTGATGAGACACCGGATGGACCGCCCACGCCGTGTCGGGCCGTCAACCACTGCCTCTCCCTCCCACGCCAGAGTACAAAGGACACCCTGATCATCTCCGTCCCGCCTGATCCGCCAACGGAAAACGCAGCGCTCTTAGCGACAGTTTACAGCGAACATAAACAGAGCCCCGATATGTTTATCTCCTCGCGACTGGTGCTTGCAAAAACTGAGCGCTGGGCGCTGAGGCAATCAGAACTTCAGCTGATTTCGCCGAAAACGTATAAATTGTGTCCAAGGGTCAACAGCAGTATATATGTTATCGTCGCATTTTTCGGCTGTAAGGGTTTCCAAATAGACTTAACTGACGGTCGTTTCTCTGCCGTCGAGAAGAGCCAGATCAGAAGCGAACCAAACACCGTCAGACAGCGCCGGACATCATGTCAGCAATCAGCTAGCAGCTCGGGATTGACCCAGGTGTTAGTTCAGGTTCATGAGACAGAGTACATAAGGCAGTACAAGACAGAAGCTAAACGTCGTGAGACAGCATCGGACATTAAGTTAAAGGGACTATCCCACCTTTAACATGGGGTTTGAGTTGAGATAGCCAAGTTTGCGGCGAGGTTCAGAAACCACTATCTATCTAGGTTGCAACCCCCGCAGCCTCTTGGTGTTGAAGAAATTCGTTCCCTTCATTTGAAAATGGACCTTGCGCAAGGCCCTATCTTCAACATGGAGCGACCGTTAGTGTGACGTCACCTTGTTTAGTCATTCTGATTTAAATGGGTTTGTTCGTTGAAAAATCGCTTAAAACTTGGTCTGAACTTTGTTGTGGTGCCTACAGAGTAAAAAGAATCAGCTTTATGACAGTAATGTGGCCTGGGGAAGGAGGTAATTTTGGGCTGTGACGTCACATATTTGAAAGTTTGTGTTTGGAATATGGGAAGCCTAAGATGTTTAATGAAAAATAAATGCCAGAACCGTGTTCCTGGTCATCCAATCTATAAAGTCGGGCACAATTTAACTGGTTTTAACAACATTTTAGAAGGTGGGATAGTTCCTTTGACCCACGGCGAGGCAATGAGCCAAACTCCGGCTAAACGCTCCCGGCTCCCGCAGACAGCGTGATAAGCGGAGCTGCAGAGTCGCACCAGTCGCCATTTGGCTCTGCTAAATGGTCCTAAATAGCACACTAAGTGATCTGAAGGTCACTAGGAGAAGCGAAGCAAAGCGTGATAATGCGTATTGGGTGAAGTTACGAGGGTAGGACTAGGGCCTCTGTATTTCGAAATGGCTCCAACATAGTTTCCACAACGATATTGGGAAATGGAAGGCAATTAGTAATCAATAGATCACACTTGACAATGAAAATCTACATGTAGATTTTCATCTTAAACGTAGAAGGCAAACTGCAAATCATCTAAAAGCTGGTTTGCAAATGTCAAACGACTTGTCACTTTTAACTGAAGAGTGTAACTACCGTGTGATCGAATCAGACCAAGTGCGCGCCTGTCTCGCGCGAGCAGCCTCACCTTCGGATGCGTTTTTTGTCTCGGGCGCTGTCGTCCTGCAGTCGCTGGTTGGTGACCTCCAGCTCCTGAATGCTGACCTCCAGCTGTTCGTACACCCGCAGACGGGAGTCGTTCACCTCACGGAGCGCCACCGACTGTTTGCTCAGGTACTGTGGACAGAACAGGGACAGGTGTGAACGGAGCTGAACCAGGGCATGAAAACAGGCTTCACATCACAGTTCACTATACGTCACTGAACAAATATAAGATAAGGATGTCAACATACCGAGTCTACAGATTATTAAACGCATTTCCATAAAGCTTTGCTTGGAAGGAGAAAATCAGCAATTTGTAAGTACTCTAATGAAACTACAAAAGGTCACGACTTTGTAATCGCATTTCGCTCCTAGGTAATTGTGCAACTCGATAATTACTAAAAGTATCCTTCGTATCCTGAAGAGAATCCATTTTTCAAAAACCAAAATGGAAACCCACGGCTTTTCCCCGTAACTCCCTCTATTCGCTTCACTCCCTGCCAAGCGTTGAAGTGCTACGGTGCGTCACCGAGACATTTACAACGCAGTGCACCGTGTGAACGTCTCCGGCGCCGCGCCAGAAGCGGAACGGCGCGCCGCTCACGCCGCATTCCGCGCGTCCGCGCCGCGGAACGTCACCAGTTGACCTGGCTGGCAGGCTGGCGCGGACGCCCGTCGGCGACGAACCGCTATTGAGTCACACGGGCGTAGGCATTCCGTCGCGGAACATCGGGTCGCGAGGATCCCGACCACAAAACATGGAACGACGGAGATCCAGACTACGGTGACCTGCTTCCGGAGAAAAGTAGGAAAAGGCGGAGCCAACTAGAACGAGCTGACATGTCCTAAAGTGGCCACCTACTGAGCTGTCATTCCTGTAGATGGAACCGAAACAGATAGCAGAAAGGAACAACAGATGGCAGATAGAGAACGGACCAAAGAAAACACGTTGGCTTTGAGCCGATCTAAGGAGAAAATGTTTCTGCGCACAACAATAAAACAACACTGTTTTTTTTTGTGCTTGGCGAGTAGTGGAGCTAAAACGGCAGCCGGGAATAAGAGAAAAAGGGGCTCGAGCTATACGTTTAATCTACCACCATAGATAACATGAATGACCATAGTTTCATGTTATCTATGCTACCACACTTGCACTTAACATTTAAAAAGGATAACTCCCTTCTCCTATCGTCTCCTCTCTTCCCCCTCCTCCCTTCTCTCTTTCCCCCGTTCTCTTCATCTCTCTATTTTTCTCACTCCTCTACATTGCATGTCACCGAAATGTAGGGCCCTTCGACACGATCAGCGCACGTTTTATTCCATCCGTTCATCTTTACACCCTTATGAGACTCGAACGCGAAGACACGAACCGACACATGGCGATCACATAGCCGGCACGAGCCACATATATCGTGATGAAATCGTCGGCACGTTTTGACACCAACAAAATGGTGTTGCTCGGGCCGCTATTTCACCACGACTAAGGCCAGCACTACCCATTGCATGATTGTCACGAATAAGAATGTCAGCAGCATGGATCGAGCTTTGCAAAATGTTAGATGAGATCAGCATCGGTAATGGCTTCTTGCATGGTGTCAAACGGTCCACTCAGACTTCATAATTTGGTTGCAAAAAACATTGGCAATAATGTTGGGCTGTGCAGAGCTATTCGATTAATGTAGATACGTGTAAGCATAAGAAGTACAAGTGGGAAACCGATACATAACTCGACATACTGATAACTGGACTAGCAATTTCGCAAGGGAAAATGCGACTAGGTATAGGTAAGTCCACGGGCACTCCCATGACCTGTATTAGAGATACGTGGCAGTTACAAAATATCCACAAGTATGGATATATTTGTGAGATAATTGTGATGTCCTAAAATGTAGGTTCCTTGTGAGAACTCTACAATACGCATACGAAGTGCGTGTCGATGCTGCCCTTCCAACCAGCTATTGTCTTCTTGCCGATTCATGCAAATGTCGCTCCATTACAATTTACAACCATGCAATTTATTCCAGCAGTATTTCCCACCTCCCGGATCCAAGCACAGACAACGCTCCCTCCACACCATCTGGTGGTGACCTTGATAAACAGTGAGGCGTGGCGGCGGCCGGTGCACTTCCGTCCTGTCGAGGCGGTCGAGAGTCCGAGACATCCGCCGCTCGCTGGTTGTGTGACCAGGCGGACAGGATGGTGCCACGGACGAGACTGCACGTGGGGCATTCCACGTCAAATCGAACAAAAATCGGCTGTTTTGCAACCTACCATCAGCGATTTCATCATAAATTTGTGAGCGAGTTCCTGTGTCGCCCCGGACATTACATTGATGTTTTTTGCACATTCTGACCACAGGTCTTCTAAATATAGGGCATCAAATTTTTACAAAATGTTGCATCTTTATATTTTTGAACGACCATAACTCTGGTTGTACTTGTTTGATTTGAATGAAATAAACCTTACTGTTTAGGTAATTCTTAAGCATTTGTTTAGAATTGCATCGACTTAAATATATGGCCTTGAAATTTGCTTAACTCTGTTCTTAAGCACAAAAATTGAAATAGCAAAAAACACGCCACCTTCGATTTGGCTCATTTTCATATATTTTATTGCCTACCATATTCTTAACAACCTGTGAAAAAATTAGAGTGGGCCATTCATAAGTTTTGAAGAAAATGGCACATATGCAAACGTATGTTAGCACGCGCAGTGGAGGGGGAAGAGTGAATTTCGCCCCACCCCTCCTGTTTTTCGCCAATATCTCATAATATTGATGCGAAATTAATTATGGCTACCTGTCCAGAATTGAATTGCACATCTCATCGTGCAAGCAATAAGAAAATCGGTTCACAACTGTTCTAGTAATAGCGGTGTAAAGTGAACATCCTGTCGCCGCGGCGACGCGGCGACCCGGCAGCCGGCGCCGACCGCTACGCGCCGCCTGAATTGTAGACTGTGCCGGGACGGAACGGAACGGTTCCGTCTTTACATCGCGCTCCTTACCGCTGATTACGTTCGATTCGCGTCAAATTTTGTGAGAAGACTAAGAAATGTACAGGCAATCTTATGGTGAAAGAATTCTGAAAATAGGTTGGTAAACAATTGAAATATGAACGTGTAAACACAAAATTGTGACTGCTGCGTTTCCCGCGTCGGCCGATCCCGCCTCAGCCGGCGACATGTTACTCTTAGCAGAACTCTAACTGCCATATTTATTATCGGATTAACTAGAAATTCCCCATACATACTCAAAAATGTATGTTCTTTCGTATAGTGAAGATCAAAAGACGTGAAGATATCGTTGCGTGATAATGTTTTCGTTGAATTTATTTCATGATGCATTTCCACACGGCTCAAAATTCACCGCAAAATACCGTTTGCCTGAGACTTTTTACAATGGAACGTGAATGCTTGACTACGATGACTATGCATTTCCATTCTCGCAGAGTTTGGGATATCACTAATCAGCAATCATTCATTTCAGAAAGTGTACACAAGCAAGCATGTCTTGACTCTGTCTTTCAAGGTCACGCGCGATTGCGTGATGTTGATGCATGAAAATGGCGTTTGCCGCGAAAGTTATCAATGGCCCACTCCAATTTTTTCACAGATGGTTAGGAACATTGTGAGGGACATAATATGTAAAAATTACTCAAATCGAAGGTGGCGTGTTTTTTGCTATTTAAATTTTTCTGTTTTAATTCAAGGTCAAATGCATTTCAAGGTCACTTCAATTTAATTTTATAATTAAAAATCAAAGCCTTATCAATTGCCTACAAGACCCTGTTAATATCATTTTGATACCAGAAAAGGAACCAGAGTTATAAGCATTTAAAAAAATGATGTGTGGCATTTTTGGCTATATTCGATGACCTATATCTCGGCGATACGTTATCAAATTTCGAAAATATTACACGTAACTCAGTTTTGCACCATGCCCAGTCTGCCTACAAATTTTCAGAAAAATCGAAGGGGATGACGGATTTCGGTGTTTGATTTGACGTGGAATGCCCCACGTGCCAGTAATGGCCAGGCAGGGGCGCACTCAGGCACACAGGGCACGGGGATGAGCGCGCTTAGAGGGAGAGAGCCGAGAGGCTGCCATTTGAGCAGTGGAAGGTACGGGACGAGTCACGGAAAGCTATAATAAAGCCTATAATGGCACAGTAAATACCCATCAGTGCATCCCGTGCACTATGATGCATGGTAAAATCACGCGAAAAAGAAGAGCATGAATAGCGCAAAATCCTTGACGTGAACACACTTGACGTGTCCTTCCGTGAAAGCGCTTCACGTTTTCTGATTTCTGATTGTTTTCTTTGCTGCGCCAAAAAATGTGAGTAGGTATAGTAAAGCCATGTAAAGCCATTGAGTGAAGCTGATACACGTTTCTTTCTGTCCGGTTAAAGTCATAACTAGCAAGAGATTGAGTGCAAAACACTGTTGCTAATTCTTCTATTATGTAACGAAAACGTGTAAAGCCCTCAATGATAAGATCCTCTGCACGTCTTATCCATTGAATAGCACCGGGTGACCTTGGTTCAACCTGTACCCCCGACCCTCAGATGACTGCACTGCCCCCCCCCCCCCCCCCGCCCGCAGCGAACTGCACCGTAGAAGCACTAAGGCATGACCGAACAAGTGGTGAGGAGCGTGACTTGAGCACGGAGACGTGACGGGTAACGGCAGACGGCAGACGAAGGACGAGAGACGGAGGGAGTGGAGATGGTAGACGAGAGACGGAGACGGCGTGAGGAGGGAACGAGAGCCGACCGACATGATGGGAAAGGAGACGGGAGGAGAGAGGTAGGAGACAACGCGAGAACGAGAGGGAGATGCGTGAACGGAAGAAGGATGACGGGACAATATAGACGAGAGACGGGAGAAGGGAGCCAAGAGATCAAACTATATGCCTAAATAAACTAACCAAATAAATCAAATATTTAGCACACCATTCCCGTTCTAATTTAAATATGCGAGACTACGCAGAACGCTGTCTAAAACTATGTAGCGCTAAGATGTCAAATGAAGCTTTACAACCATTCACAGTCCACTCACCCACCTACATACATGCGATTTGTCAGTATCACTGCCCCTATGCCATCAGTCACTTTGTCCTTGGTTGTGCTCTCTGACGGCCATGTGACAGGGCGAAGGTTCATGCCCTCATGCCCCTCATGCCCGCATGGCATGCCCGCAAGTCTAAAAAATATCACCTTTGTTCCGCCCTGGCCGTTCTACATTTGCCAAGTCTAGAAAAAGGCAGTTCTGAAAACCGCACTCATTAGGTTCGGTCTGATTGTTGAGTGACATATTGGCTCCAAGCCCAATACTAACAGTAGGGATAGCGTGGACTGAGCAGAAAAGAGCTGTTTGGGAAAACATCGCATCTCAGAGTATATCAGTGGGATGTGGAAGAGAGCAGGCAAAACCGTCAGCAATGATCCTAAAATACGGTGATGAGAAAATGTTCGCAGCAAATTCTGTTTATAGGAAATCCCACGAAGTTTGTCGAAGATATTCTATCTTTATACACATAAAAAGTTGTAAAACCATGATTTGCTGCACGGTTTGGGACGCGGGACAGTGTGACTTCAGAACCCTTTTCAAGGGATCTGCATGCAGCTTGTCCGAAGAATCCTGTATAACAACGCATTTGTTTACTGAGGATCATGTCGACACTCAACTTCAGAGCCGAGCAGCGTCGGATCAGCCGGTGCACAATAAACAAAGTGCAGGAAGCTGTCACTGCGAGTCACCAAGTCACTACAGGCACAAGGCACAACGGGAAAAACATCTGTCCAGCAGACACTGAGCTGAGAGACAGCAGCTGGCCCTCTCAATGTCAGCGGGCGGTGTTGTTTTTTTGCTCGTACATATGTTTGGTACACATGTGGAGCACAGCGAGCTGAACGACTGCGGATAAGATCTGACGCTAAAGTGGCCTCGCTACGTCCCTCCGGCGTTGGCAGGTCTGATTTAGATGTCGGCCAAATAAAACATTGCGTCAGTTTTGCCCCAAACTTAGAACCACGCCGAATCACGTTGATTTACTGACAAAAAACTAAAAGTGTGAGAAGATCCATGCTCTTAATGATAATAAAGTAAAAACCCAAAAAGCAGATTAGTTTTACCAGATTCATTGAAGCATACTACTCATTGCACAATGGCCAAGCCGTCCCTCTTCAATGCATAACCACTGCCATTTTATCATTGGGTACGGCCACTGAACTGGTACGGCTTTATATTATCCAGCGCCATGCTGGTGGGGGGGGGGGGGGGGGGCTGGATTTCCACGCCCTTCTGGGGGGAGGGTGTTTGAGCAGCCCCCTCCTTCGTCTAACTTGGCTCCTGCAGGCTACGTAGCGACACACGGTAAGGGGAATTCATAAAAACGTCCAACATAGGGACGAAAACAATTCGGGCGTTTATTAGGTCAGGTCAAAGGTCAGGTCACCAGAGGTTATCAAAGGTAAATGTTGCCTAGTTCAAACATTTCTCGAAACATCAGCACATACCTCGAGAACCAATGGAGTTACAGCGCTGCGGAACAGAGCATACGTAAGCCCTTGTAACCCTCTTTCCAGACTGTGGCATCAGATTTGACCTCAGGTCAAAGATTTAGCCTCCAGAGGGCAAAAACTGAAAAACAGCCGTTTTCGAGAAAAAAAAAACTTCAACAACTTTTGACTCAAGAGAGTCACGACATTACTTTGGCCAGCATCGTATTTCTCTCGTCGAGACGCGTCGAATGAACTATAAGTCAACATTGAAAGGTCAACTTGACAATTTTACCTCAGGTCAAGGTCATGACCTAACCGAAAAAGGTCATGCTGCATATCAGTCGATCCATAGCGTCGAGCCGAACACATCTAAGGCGCTTTAACCGCTCCTAGCATGCCTCTATCAGAGGTTGCAAGCGAAAACCCGTTAGACCCCATTCGTGACCTGAGCTGACCTCAGGGGCATAACGAGGGGTGTCACGGGTGTCATTTTCCAGTTCAGTGTGTCATATTCACTTGTAATTATGTGTTTGGAAGTGTTGAGAATAATGTTTGTCCAAAAAGGGGCGCATTTCAATTTTCTCCCATTGACTTATGATGGAGAGGTTTCAAAATTGACCTGACCTTTCACCGATATCTATATTCCAAGATGAACTTTTTGTACATATTGTTGCTTTTATCAACTGCTGAAAGTTTGAAAGTGATCGGTCACTCGGTGTAGCTATGACAGGCATTGCAACTTTCTAGGAGGTGAGGCCATTTAATGACGTGACCTGGTGACCTGACCTTGGGTGGCATTGGTCTGAAATTTTCACAGCAAGTGCAAAAAAGATGCATAATGAAGTGTACCAAAAATGGTGGCGCTCCGAACCGCCGTTACTGAGATATTCGCGAAAATCCGCAGGGGATTGTTCAAGCACCCAGCGGCGGCGCGGCGTCCCCCCCCCCCCTCCCCCAGCAGGTCCCGAGTTATCGGAACCACCGCCCACATGGAATGTCTGGTGTCGTCGGCTGAGCAGTGCGGCGGCCGACGGCCCGGCCGGCGGTGGTGTATTTCCGCGCTAGTCGGTGTCTGGTGCAAACAGGCGGGCAGCGGTCCGCCCCTGCTCAGCCGTGGCTCCAACTGCAACTGCTCCAACTGCTCCAACTGCAACACCAGGATGGTGCTGTGCATCGCGGGCACACCGATCGACACGATCCCGCAGGACTTGCGCACGCTGTTCCAACTGTACCCGCACCTGAAGGAGGGTGCTCGTCACCTCTGCAGCCTGCCTGCCAAGTGTGTCGGCCCGGCCGGTCTGCTGTACGTCAGCCAGCGCGAGCTGGCCGTCACCGTGCCGCACGATAGGAACGCCTCCGTGCTGGGTACCGACGACTGCACCACCTGTCACATGGCCGTGTTCCGGCATACAGCGTCCGGCGCCACCAGTCTCACTCATCTGGACTCCTGCGAGCACGAGGAGCCGCTGCAAACGATCCTTCAGCGCATCGCGGAGCTGTCCAAGGGCTACCCGGCCGGACGAGTGCAGCTGCACCTAGTCGGGGGCTACAGGGACGGCCGCGGCGTCTCCGAGGAGGTTAGCCTGTCGCTTCTCAACGCGCTGTCAAAGACTCGGTACGAAGTGGACCTGGTCACCTGCTGTCTGGGCGAACTCAATACCATCACGAGGGACGGCATGAACTGGCCGGTCGTGTACGGCGTGGGCGTCACCGTGGAGACCGGCGAACTCTTCCCAGCATCATTCCCTGACAAGGGTCCAGAGATGGCGCTCCGGCATGCGCGCTTCTACACCGGCGGACACCAACAGGTTTTGGATATATACGACTGCCAGCAGGGCTTGATGCGCATCGGCCCGTTCAACTACGAGCCGCTGCGCAGTGTCGACCTGTGGCTGCGTCAGAGTGACGAGGTGCTGCTCAAACACCTCTCAACCAGTCCCGAGGTCGAGCCGCCGCACTTCGCCACGCAGGCGCGCGCCTCACTGAAGTACATCCAGGAACATCCGTTCCCGGCCAGTACCATCTTCCCGGACGGACGTCCGCATTACTTCCGCAGGGACCAGCTGTCCAGCCAGTGGGTGCAGCTCAGCTCCTGATCCAGGTCCGCCACTGATCCAGCTCCTCTAATAATCCAGATTCACTACGGCCGGCCCAAAGACCTGTGGGGCCAGCGCGTGGGTGCAGATCGGCTACTGATGCCCAGCCGGCACACGACCAGCCGTGGCGACTTCTGGACCGGGCTCCCGCCGTCCAGCAGCACTGTGTATTGTTAGCTGTTGCTGTTAGATGTTGTGTGCGACTTGTGATACGTGATAAGCCTGACGCGATAAGCCTAATCGCCGGCCGGCAGCGGTGGTTGATATTAGCGATGGCCGCCAGCGCTACGGTCGTCGCCAGTGGCCTGAGGCACAGGGGAAGCACCTAATTCCAGTGATGACTGCGTTCCGGGGAACCGTTGAACACGCTGCGCCAACGGTCCTCTGCTCCCTTTGTAGGGCCAAGGAAATGACCTTTTTGTGCAGTGTGCTGATAGACGCAGAGTATTTAATGTGAGCAGCAATGGTCTAGTACCTATTGGCAACTATGAGTGACTCAAGATGACTGCAGAATAACACAATTTCGATTTCGATGTATAAATATCACGTTGTTGTGTTATCATTTAGGGTAAGCTTTTTATAAAAAAAAATAAAAAAATACCTCTTATGAAACGGGACTGTGTGTTCATAAAAAGAATGTCGAGTATCGACTGCTTTTTTCGCCTCGGATCGTCCTCAGATGAATGAATCCGGCGATTTCATGAAAATTTCCCCGGTCACAACCTTGCTCTGCCACTTGTCCAATCATGTCCTGGCTAGGTGGCCGAACAGTTTACGATAGCTCTATCAGGCGCTCCAAATCTCTTCATGAAAAAACAACAAAGTTTCGTTCATTTCTCGCACTGCTATCTGGCAGGAGCCAGGAATACATTTGATAAGGGACAGATAGCGACAATGGGTCGCGGTTATTGGAATTTTCAAGTAAGCGGTATCAGGTTTCGATACGGCTTATCTGAACGACATTGTCCATTGGTGAAATGCCGGCGCCTACCAATTCAAGAGAAGCGACATAGCTTGAACTCAACAATGGGCCCTAACAAATCCAATAGAGTGGCCGTCCTATACCGGTTATATTGAGTTAAGGGCCCGATAGTGATAGAGCCATCATATATCGATTTAGAGGGCATGGTTATACGTCATGGTGTCAAACGCGAGGGACAACTATGAATAATTAAAAAATATACAGGAGCCATTTGATGGCATTGGTTTCCCTGGCCAGTTGTTGTAGAGAGCTGGTGCTTTGTGAGTCGTGAGCAGCCACTGAACAACAGCCCAATATTAAATTATCCACCCAGAAGACATGCTTGTCTTCCCAGTGCCCACTATTAAAGGGACTATCCCACCTTTAACATGGGGTTTGAGTTGAGATAGCCAAGTTTGCGGCGAGGTTCAGAAACCAGTAACCACTATCTATCTAGGTTGCAACCCCCGCGGCCTCTTGGTGTTGAAGAAATTCGTTCCCTTCATTTGAAAATGGGCCTTGCGCAAGGCCCTATCTTCAACATGGAGCGACCGTTAGTGTGACGTCACCTCGTTTAGTCATTCTGATTTAAATGGGTTTGTTCGTTGAAAAATCGCTTAAAACTTGGTCTGAACTTTGTTGTGGTGCCTACAGAGTAACAAGAATCAGCTTTATGACAGTAATCTGAGTAATGTGGCCTGGGGAAGGAGGTAATTTTGGGCTGTGACGTCACATATTTGAAAGTTTGTGTTTGGAATATGGGAAGCCTAAGATGTTTAATGAAAAATAAATGCCAGAACCGTGTTCCTGGTCATCCAATCTATAAAGTCGGGCACAATTTAACTGGTTTTAACAACATTTTAGAAGGTGGGATAGTTCCTTTAACCCGCGCCCCGTTGGGCTGCCGAGCAACGCGCCCGGTTGGGGGGCCATTTTGGCCCCCCCCTAAGATCTCGAGAACCACGCAACATAGCGACAAGCGGTAAACGGCGTTGGATAGCCCCAACGGGGAACTACCTTGTGACCCAATTTTATTGACCTAGGTCAAACCGATGACGTCACAGGTCAGGTCAAAGGTCCAATTTTCACCGTTTACAGGCACTTCAAGAAATGCGTTTGTAAAATCGAGTAAAATGCATTTCATTGAAAATCATCGCTGGGGAAATGTTCTTCAAACACATATTTTGCTATTTGAGGTCACTGATACCAGGTCAGGTCACAGAGGTCAGTCACAATATGAAAGTTGTCGTGTGATACATGTTTATGGTCCATTTTACATGACAAATGCGATTATATGGGTCAGGCAGCCTTTGGGGCCAGCTTAGATCACGTTTTGGTCAAGGTCAGGTCAAGGTCAGGTCAAGGTCAGGTCAAATTAGGTCAAATTTCAAAGTTGATATTTTTGCATAAAATGGGTATCGAATCGATGCAGCTCGTCACGGGGAGTTCAATGGTGGTCTTTGTTTTGCCGTACGTGGTCTGGAATCGCTAAAAATTGAGTTCAAAAATTTGACGTCATCATTTTTGAACAGTTTTTTCGCTATAACTTGGCCAAAAACGAGATATCGATCTGAAATTTGGTATGTATATAGAAGAGCGCTGGGACTATCACATATATTCCGGTTTTTTTCGAAATTCGGAAAAATTTTGGATTTTTTCAAAGTTTTTCTAAAAAAATCAATTTTTTGATTTTTTTTTTGGTCAAAAACCAAAAATTTTGAAAATCCGAGATAGCAGTTTTGTAGCGCCGCTTTTTGTCTACTAGACCATATAAAGAACTTTGAAATTGCTTGATAACTGTAGATTGGTGAGCGTTTCAAGATTGCATGTTTTTTGCTCATTTTTGCTCGAACATGACCTCAGTTTGACCTCAATAACTCCTGACCTAAGGTGACCTAAGACTTGAAATTTGGTGTGAAGGTGTCAAATTGATGCCTGGGAAGGTACTGAAAATTTGGCGGCGCTGCGCGCCGCCATTTTCTTGCTATTCAGGAAAAACCACAGGGGGGGGGCCAAAATGGCCCCCCCAACGGGGCGAGGGTTAACCCGCGCCCTGCTGGGGGGGTTTGAACACCCCCCTTGTGGTTTTTCGCGAATATCTCAAAAACGGCGGCGCCGAGCGCCGCGGTTTTTGGTACACCTTATCATACATCAATTCTACACATGTTGTGAAAATTTCAGACCAAGGTCATTCAAGGTCAGGTCACCAGGTCACTTGAAGTGACCTCACCTCATAAAAAGTTTCAATGTTTGTCATAGTGACCGATCGCTTTGAAACTTTCAGCGATTGCTAAGAGCAATAGCATGTACAAAATGTATATCTCAGAATTTTGATGTCAATGACCTAAGGTCAGGTCAATTTTGCGACCTCCCCATTATAAGTCAATGGGAGAAAATTGAAATACGCCTCTTTTGGACGAAAGACATTATAAACACTCCCAAACACCGAATTACAAGTGGTTTAGACACACTGAACATGAAAATGGTGTCCGTGACCCTTGTTTATGCCCTGAGGTCATCTTAGGTCACGAATGGTATCTAACAGTTTTTCGCAAATAACTTTTGATAGAGGCATGCTAGAGCGATGAAAACGCCTTAGATGTGTTCAGCTCGACCATACGGATCGACTGATATGCAACATGACCCTTTCCGGTCAGGTCATGACCTTGACCTGAGGTCAAATTTTCAAGTTGACCTTTCAAGGTCAAGGTATAGCTCATTCGATGCGTCTTGACGAGAGGAACACGATGCCGGTAAAAGTAAGCTCGTACAGGGCTTGGGTCAGAAGTTATTGCAGAAAAAACTGTTTCCGAAAAAAAAATCGGCTATTTTTGCAGTTTTTGCCCCCTGCAGGCAAAACCGTTGACGTTAGGTCAAATCTGAGGAAATTGCTCAGAAAGGGCGTTAATAGGGCTATCGAATGCGCTTTTCCGCGGCGCTGTAGCTCTATTGGTTCCCGAGTTATGCGTTGGCTTCTTGGAAATTTTCGACATTTGACCTGGAAATCGGCGAAATTTTGCCTTCAATGACCTCTGGTGATCTGACCTTTGACCTGACCAAAAAATTGACTGAAGTGATTTCCTAATTATTTTTGACGCTCTTTCGAACGCCGCCTTCCGCGTATCACTACGTGGCCCAGGAGCCGAGTTACAAGGGGGGTGTTCAAACACCCCCCCCCCCCAGCAGGGCGTGGAAATCCAGGACCCCCAGCCGGGCGCGGGTTAAATACGCAATTAATTTATTGACTCAGCAGTCAAAGAGTCGCCTCCAGTGACCCCTTACCTCTATGTCCTAGCTCTGCTGCTTCAGGTCGCAGTGACTCCAGTAACCAGTGCCTCCTTACCTCTATCTCCTGGCTTCAGGCTGGAGTGACTTACTTTAGTGACACCAGTGACTCCAGGGACTCCTTACCTCGATTTCCTGGCTCTGGTCGTCGATGACAGTTTGCTGCTGCTTCAGGCCCGTCTCCAGTTCCTTGTTCCTCTCCAGAAGAGTTTTGCCCAGCTCCGCCGCCAGCTGCAGGTCTGCAAAAAAAGACAAAAGAATCGTGAATAATTACGTGGATATACGTCTAACTGATAGAACATTCACTGATGAAACAAACATTCTGAAAGAGCCTTTAAACTGGTGCAGTGCGTTAGGAAAAAGGAGCTTACTCTCTATCAGATATCCTATGAATCAGCAGCCACGTGAATAGCCCGCTGATAAATCGCAATTGATCAGGGGATCGGCCCACTTCGTCACTGCCATCATCACACACACCCGTCACACCCGTCACACCCGTCACATTCGTCCCAGCCGTCACATTCGTCGTTGTCACAGCCTGTCAGGCCGACACCGTCACAGGTGTGTGCTGTCATCGCGCGGTCTCCTTTACAGAGACGCCGTTTGTACCGGGCACACGCCTCTCAGGGAAAACCACACGGCAACACGCAGCATACCACAGCGCTGATTTGTTTGTCTACTGTGAGCAGGTGAATGTTCTAATACATAATACACACTGCGATATGTGTTAGGATAGGTAATGAGCTGCATCTTCACTGATTAATATTGCATTTTATTCGAAACTTGTATGATAAAAGTTAAAATTTCCAATGATCACCATTCAGATTACTAACATTCCAGACCAACATGTGCAGTATCTTGGTCACATGCTGGAGGTAGTTGCCGCCCCATACATGTAATATCGTGATGGAGTTTTGGTCCACACGTGTGATCCGTGATCGAGTTTCACTCAACACGAGTGACCCACGGCGGAAGTTCCGGTTCCCACGAATCCCAATCCCTTGGTCGAATTTCTGCCTGGACGGATGTAGCACCATGATGACAAGCTTCTCCCATTGATCGGGTTCCTTTCCAGCGTGTAACGCTTTAACTGGCTATTAGCCGCCATGTAGTTTCCCTCATGCATCTCGCTGGCCTGAAGGCTGGTCCGGCGGCTCCGTGGCGGTCCCAAAGTGTTCTAATCTTCCCCGGGGCATCTCGTGAGGTCTCACAGACACCCGTTTCCCAGCCGGCTGCCGACTTCACTCAGACTCCACCCCGAGGCTTTCCGTCGTGGGAGTCTAGCGGGAGTTATGCGAGCCAGCCACACACGAGCGAGGGCGGGGCTGTGCAAAAGTCGGACTGAAGTTAACGGAGTCAGGGGGAGAAAAATGCAGTTTCTTTGGCATTTTAACCCGGCAGTTGCTGGGGTATTTCGCCACCCACCGTTTGCTGGGGGGGGGGGGGGGCGTTAAACGCCCCCAGCCGATAACTCGAGAACCAATAGGCGCAGCGAAACGCACGAGGCGGCAAACGAAAGAACGCGACGAGACGCTTCAGATGAGTACTTTAAAGTTGAATTTTGAGGTCACAGGTCGGGTCAAGGTCAGGTCAAACACCTGAAATCGGGCTTTCAGTAGCATGGACTTCAGGACCTCGCAATGGGCGCCTCTCGTCATAAACTCTGTCAAAACGGTACTCAATCCATCATATAAGGCCTACAAGAGTGTCAGCTCCATGTAGGGGTCAGTCAAGCATAGGTCAGGGTCAAGGTCAGGTCAACCGGGTAGGCACATATCCCCGAAAATCAAAACTGATATTCGCAGCCTGTGACACATGTTTTATGGGTAATTTAGGGCGTAGAACACGATGGTGACATTCATTTTATCATATGTGTACGTGTTTGGCTCAAAAAGTTCAATTTAAGAAATTCATGTATCATGGTCGTGAAGTAGTCACGAGAAATTGCCAAGATTCAGTTCAAGATTTTGGAAAATGCGGAACGATAATCAATAATCGAAGATAGCCATTTGATTGTTCATGGTATTGGCAGTCTTATGGCGTTTACGGCATGTCTGTATGTCTATTGTGTGATTTTATATGATTTTTCGAACTTATGCCGTTTTTGGTCGAAAACTCAGAAATCATGACGTCACTAAAACCTTGATATCTGAAAAATTTTCCGACCGATTTTTTTTTAAACTTTGTCACAATAAACTTCAATCAATTCCCTACAGGAACCCAAAATTTGGCGCGCCTGCGGCGCGCCGTCTTTATGCTATGGCCCGGCGAAAAAGTGGGGGCGTTTAACGGCCTCCCCCCAGCAACTCGCGGGTTAAGCCTAACGTAAATTCTAGTCCAATGTTTTCTCTTATCTGGACGAATGAGCCATAAGTAAAGCGTCACAAGTCTAAACACGAGCAAATTAGCGCATATATGTATGTGCAACTTGCACACTGTTACCCTAATGTTAAGCCTGCCTGAGAGCGATGGTTATTTTCTCTGGTACCTACAAGTAGCCAAATGATGTTTAACACCCGCTCGAACAGGGCTAAAGCTGCCAGTGCACATTGCAGAAGCTTTGCAAGCCGTGTCTTCGCACTGAAAACCGCCGTAACGTCACGGTTGTGCGACTACGGAGCGTCACGGCGCACCCGAGCGTCACGGCCCTGTCACGGGGCTGTCTGTCCGTCACGGATTGTGACCGTGACGCCAGCTGACCAGCCCCACCCAATGGGTGTCTGCAGGGAGATATTCAAATGGAGAGGTGAATCAGCTCAATCAGAGAGAAAGGTAGCTGATAGTTCGGCGAAATGCTAGCTAAGATCCGTAAAAAGTTGCGAAATGGAATAGAAATCACTAAATGGTTGAACAGCATAATTGCAGATACTAAAATAGACCGCAACTCAGCCGGGTGGTAAAAATGGATATCAAAGCCACTTTCTGTAGCATCGAAACCGAGTAAAACTTCCGCAGAGGTCGTGCAACACAACAACAAACGCTCGGCATGTCACCTGTAGATGCACTTGGCCGTAAGATTGTCGTACCTTACACCATAGCAGCTGAAGTAAGCGGCAACTGAATGGAAACTCAAGAACCATAACACTGAATTTCGTAACTGAGCGCGTATCTTTCTGCAATTCTGCAAATGACTCAATCGTCAAACATCCATATCTGCACACGACATATGTCTTTCTGAGAGCGAGCCGTATCGTGGTGAGCCGCATCGTGGGTTCGGCAAACCTGTCGGCGTGGGAAGCGGCGGTAACACGGCGAGGAGCGTGGCAAAGTCTGCGCCTCTCATCGGACGATAGCTGAAGCGGCTGACTGTGGTGCTCACAGAGACGACAGGAGACTGTCAGAAGATAGACAAATATTGCCAGAGACTACTCCAGACGGCTAGAGACGGCAAAGGCCTCCATGCATTGTAAGAGACTACTAGAGAATGCCAAAGACGGCCAGAGATGATAACCAGAGACTATCAGAGACACCCAGAGAAGGTTAGGCACGACCAGAGGCTGTCAGAAAGGGTGACTTCAGATTACCAAAGACGATAATAGACGGCGAGAGAATGTCGAGAAGTACCAACTACCAAACCGTCATTGACCACTCTTGAATGGCAATAGCGAAGGTCTAAGGTATCCTAATTCCCACAAATACAGCAGCTAACCTTAGGGTGTCTATAAGGGTCTCACATCTGGCCGCAATCGGGCTCTATAACTGACCCTCATGGGCTGCAGACGACGTAGCCGGACACCGCTCGCTATTCAGTAAACCGTCCGCTTCTACTTTTTCCTACGGCCCGGTTTGAGCACACGAGGAAATTCGCTGCCACTGGTACGGTGATCCGGTAACGAGGTATCCGTGAGAGAAATGCACCGGTAACGTCCGGGAAGTCAGTGTAAAATACCAACTGGTCAGTGGTCAGTCAAATTTTCGAGCGACGGTTAGACGGGTCAGACAACGGATTTACGACCACCTAACGGTCCAACAATAAACAATTACACCAATCGATCATTCATGCTGATCGATCAACCCTGATAGGCTATGCCATCAAAGTCCAGTGTATGTCCATTGTCCAATTATTCCACTTTGCTAACACATCTTTAATTATTTCGGGCACTTCATTCGCTGGCCAACACACTCAATGGTGATTCACAACTGTCGAAAAGCACGCCTGCCAGTGACAGGAAATAGTCCGCTGGTCAAACGGCGCAGTGTTTTGACACAGATCAATCACATCACTTGAAATGACAACTGAACGAAGTTATCTAGAACGGGGGCAACGCCGCACCGCCAAGACGAGCGGTTTGGTTTGGTGTAAGGACGCTCGCAACGCAAAACGTTCGAAACGTCTGTGTATAAGATTTTTCTGTGCAGAAGAATTGCGGATGATGAGAACGTATGAATATCGATGAATTCATTGAAAATCGATAGCGGCTAGATTGCTAAATGTTAAATTCATCTCTTGTATTTGTAATCTTATAAATGCGCTGAAGAGTAGATCTTTTCTTTGGAGTTCATATACCCCCACAGCTGTGAGTGTGACCGTTCTAATTTGCTTCAGAAATTGTCGAAGGAGAACAGTTTTTAGTACCTAATAATATCCAACAACACTTTCGTTGCTAGTACGAGCATGACGAAAGATAAAAATGAATTGAACGGACAAGCATGGTTAGCATTCTACATCAGTCACCTTCTCTTGTCTCACTCTCTCGATCTCACTCAATCGCTATCTCTGCATCAATTGCACGACAGGCTGTTCCATTATAGTTCCGCAATAGGTTAGTTCACAAACCGTGACAGGTACGCCCACCTGCCGTGCAGTGCCCCAGGGAGGATCAGGCTCTCCAAAGAGCCCAGTTTTAGATAGGGTCACAGGTCACAGACACAGGGTCAGAGGTCAGGTCAGGTTGGACCCACCGCCGTGCCGCTGTCACCTGACCCGTGCTCCGACGGTCGACTACCGGTCACGGGTGTCCCACGACGGGTCACGGCTCCGCTCGCCGGCCGGGTCACGGGGAGGTCACAGCGTGAGACAGAGGTCACCCCGCGCCGGATGAATGGTCAGCTCGCCGGCCGGAACACCGATTACGTCACGGCTGGTGCCCAAGAGAGCTGAGGCGAGACAATGCCCCCTGAGTGATGGTATTTCTGGATGGCCTCACTCATTCTGTTAATTGCTACCGGCGGAAATGACTTTACAAGTGTCTGCACTCGGCAGTCTGATGAACAGATGAATTTATAAGATCCTACATCA